GCAAATGCTTAAATTTAAATTGTCTTGTGCAGGTCCGTTCAGTTCGTATACCACAAATCGGAGACAAGTTTGCCAGTCGTCACGGTCAGAAGGGTACCTGCGGTATCCAGTACAGACAAGAGGTAAGGGGACACTACCATTGGGGTCTGTATGAATTTAATTTTTTTTTTTTTTTTTAAAGTCTTTTATGCTCACCTAGGCTGCATTTATTTGATAAAAAAATACAACAAAAACTGTAATACTGTAAAATATATTCCAATTTAAATGAACTGTTTTCTATTTTAATACATTTCAAAATGTAATTTATTCCTGTGATGGCAAAGCTGAATTTTCAGCATCATTACTCCATAGGTGTCACACAGTCCTTCAGAAATCCTTCTAATATGCTGATTTGATGCTCAAGAAACATTTCTTATTAATGCTTAAACAGATGTTCTGCTTATAATATTTTTGTGCAAGCTGTGGTACTTTGAAATTAATTTTCAAACAAGCAGCATTTTTTGAAATGCAAATCTTTTGTAACATAGATGTTTACTGTCATTTTAAATCAATTTAAGAAATCCTTGCTGAATAAAAGTAATAAACTATTTTTAAAAAGTCTTACTGACTCAAAACTTGTGTAATGGGAGATGTAATGTTGTAGTGCTCATTTTTTATGTGAACGAGACTGAATGTGTATGCTTTTGCTAGGTTTGTTTAGACTAGCCTGCAGTTGAAGGTTTGTACACAGGATGTGGCTCTTAAACAGCTTATGATAGCATAGACTCTTACAGCCGAAGGCATTGTAAACAGTCACTATGAAACCCAAACGCAGATGCAGTGTGTGTCTGACCTGAGCTGTGAATTTTCCTCTCTTTAGGACATGCCATTCACATGTGAAGGAATCACCCCAGATATCATCATCAACCCTCACGCCATCCCTTCCAGAATGACAGTCGGCCATTTGATCGAGTGTCTGCAAGGGAAGGTACTTTGGTTTTCTGCTCCTAATCCTGCGTATCGTGCTTCTTTTTTCAACTCGTTGTCTACATTACAGACAGATGTTTATTTTGGGAACATGTGTTCAGAAAAGTGCCCTACAAAGGTGCCCTTTTTTGGGGGTAATGATTACACATTCCACAGTTAATCCTATATATATATATATATATATATATATATATATACTAGACGTGCGGTAATGCGATAAATCGCGGTAATGAATATGCACGATATTGTTATCGCGGGCACTTCAAAATACCGTGAAAAATAATAGATCCGAATTTAGATTTTTAGAACGCACATTACCTTATTTTCCATCAACCGCCTAAAAAACACTGCGTATATGCTGCGCAAAACACGTGCGCACTCTGATGTAAACAATCCCCACATGTATAAGCACTGTGTGCATGCGGCGCAGTGCGCACTCTAGTCTAATGTAAACAATCCACACATGGAGAAGAAGCATGACGCATTCAGCTTGAGACTCACGCAATAGACACTTTTCACACTCTCTCACGCCACACATCCATTTTCTCACGCAGAGACTAGAGGACTAGACAGAGCAGGTTACTTATGATATGAAAACAATATCAGCTCTCAGGTTCTGTCCATTTTATTACGAAATTCAGACAATAAATGCCGTTTTGGCGCTTGTAAATGTGATGTGACGGATCGCTGCGCCTCAGTTCAAGTAAACCGATCATCTGTTACTTTTTATTTAAAGATACAGTACAACTTACCGAAAGTTATATGCCTCATACATAATATCGATCAACCAGTGTTTTTCAACCACGGAAAGAGGTCAATAAAACTGCAGGAGAACAATTGTCACAGAACGTTACATTTACTCAGGAAATCCATTTAATGACCAGCACGTTAGTTGACTAGAAAAAATAGCTATAGAGAGGAGTATTTTGCTAAATATGTGCACTATATTACATATTTATTATATGTTTACTTGTCATTACATAATTGTTGTTATAATGAAAACCGCATTATATTTAATTTCTCTCTGTATGTTTAAAACATTATGTGAGATTTTTTTTTCTTGAGAGAAATTAACATGCAGCCTATCTACTGTAGCCTACCTAATATTTATCCAAATGAGTCAATATTGAATCAAAATTGAAATCAAATCCAAGAATTGAATTGAAATTTTGAAAATTGTGTTAATGTTAATAAAAATACAACTGGTCATTTATTATTTCTTGTTATCTTAGGTCCATTAAATATCAACAGAGATAACTTTGATTTTAAAAATGTATTAGTAAATGTTGAAATTAACATTAGCCAAGAAGTAGAAGTTTTTTTCCATTGTTCATGTTATTTAATGTATTTAATGATTTAAAAAAAAAAAAGTATTTTAACAAATTATGTTATAAATGATGTTTTAACAAAATGTTATAAATGCCTTTTAATCTTTATCTACAACCAGTTCTAACTCAAACGTCTAGTACGTCTCAATAACAGTTCTCAGTTCTTTTAAAGGTTGACATGACATCTTTTTTTTAATTTGTTTAATTTTTAGACTGATTTGAACCAATAACTCATGAGTTTGAGTTTGTGAGTGATAACTCATAAGAGCCGATTGTTTAGAAATCGTCATACTTTTGCATACTTTTTGCATGCAATTCAACCATCAATTGAAAGAGGTGTTACTGTTAACAAAACCATAATTCGGTTCCATTACACTGAATAAGAACCAATTCTTAATTTACAACCCTAGTCATTTTTGTGTTAAATATGCAACCGTTCAGAACACTATTTCCTTTTCTGTTCAGGTGTCTGCTAACAAAGGAGAGATTGGTGATGCCACGCCATTCAACGATGCTGTGAATGTACAAAAGGTCTCCAACCTGCTGTCAGAATACGGTTACCATCTGAGAGGCAATGAGGTGAAGAGCTCCTACCTGCCAATGTGGCAGTCCACCCAAAAAATTAACATTCTGTCATCATTTACTCACCCTCATGTCCTTCCAAACCTGTTTGACTTTCTCCTGTTGAACATAGAAGATATTTTGAAGAATTGAAGAAACAGTTTCGGTTCCCGTTGACTTCAAAATATCATCTTCTATGTTCCACTGAAGATAGAAAGTCATACAGTTTGCAATGACGTGAGGGTGTGTAAAATGACGGAATTTCATTTTTAGGTGGACTATTCCCTTAAGAATGCATTAGATGTGTTGAAACGTGGTTCTAATGGTAGTATTTATTATTGCAGGTTTTGTATAATGGGTTCACTGGCCGTAAGCTCACCTCTCAGATCTTCATCGGACCCACATACTACCAGCGTCTAAAGCACATGGTGGACGATAAAATCCACTCCAGGGCCCGTGGTCCGGTCCAGATCCTCAACAGACAGCCCATGGAGGGTAGATCACGGTGAGATGGCAGCACTTTTATGCTAGCAATTTTTTTTATGTGTAAATCACCTATTAGATCTTAACTGTTTTCTTTCCTCCAGTGATGGTGGGCTGCGTTTTGGAGAGATGGAACGTGATTGTCAGATCGCTCACGGTGCCGCTCAGTTCCTAAAAGAGAGGCTTTTTGAGGCATCTGACCCGTACCAGGTCCACGTCTGCAACCTGTGCGGCCTCATGGCCATCGCAAACACCCGCACGCACACCTATGAGTGCAGGGGCTGCCGCAACAAGACACAGGTGAGTAACCGCTAATATCCAGTCTTACTGGGTCAAGTGGTCAATAAAGTTGGTATAAAATTAAATTTCACGCTTTCAAATTTTTTTTTTTTTATTGATTTTATTGTGAATGATTTGTCTATGCATAACTCTTTCGAGACATCTCTCTGTTGACATATGCTAGACTTCTCCAATCATTAAGTCTGCTTAAACCCACCCCTTTCTCACAGAACCAAGACCCTGCCCTTCAATTTCTTCTTTTTTGATAATCATTTTCACTCTGTTAATCAGTATACAGAAGAAAAGATCTGTCTCTAATTCTCTACTATTTTATTGAGACTTTAAAGGCTCAGGGATGGTTTTTGGCTCAATTCCCACAAATAGCAAGTCATGAGCTTTTACTTTAAATGGTCTAATGAGCATATTATAGAACTCATATTTAAGACGTTAAAATGAGCTCTTTCGTGACCCCCTTCCTCGGCTCTGTTCTTTCAGATCTCTTTGGTGAGGATGCCGTACGCCTGTAAGCTCTTATTCCAGGAGCTGATGTCTATGAGCATTGCCCCACGGATGATGACCAGCTAAACGGCCACACAGATGAATAATGGAAAACAGGAACCAGGAGCAAATCATAGTGAAAATGATTTTGAATGGATCCCAACAGCACTTCCTGCGGTAGCTGCTGGGCTTGTGAACTTTTTATGTTTTTGTTGTTTTTCATATGTTGTTATAGTTCTGAAACAGGTGTTTTGGCTGTTCAACCTAGAATAAAATAAAGCTGCTTTTTAAAAAAATAAAAAAATTAATGATGTGCTCATCAAGATTTAACTGCTTAGTTTTTTGCACAGACACCACAAACTCCATGCCTTTCAAAGTACATCTTTATTCATTGGTGGTATACAAATATCAAAACATACAAACAAATGCATTAGATGCTCAGACTTTTAGAGGACAACACTTAATTCTACTGGAGTTTAGGAACCGACAGAATAGAAGGAAGTCTATAGCAGTGATAAATGAGCTGTTAATTCTTAAAACCCCAAAATTTATTCTAAACCTCTGAACTACAATATTTGTGATTTGTTTAGTGAACTTGTCATGTCATAAGCTGAAAAAATTGTCTTTTTTCTCTGTCGGTTTAATTTAATTGATCTTTTGTTTTAACTTTTTTTTTTTTTTTTTTTGGCATTTAAAGGCAGATAATATAAGTGAGCTTTACATTTTCATATAATGCAGTTAGATATAATGAAACATTTACCTATGGCTCATGGCCCTCGATCAAGTTAGATTTGTGGCCCTTTATTGCAAATATTTTGTGCAACTCTGATTTAGATTAAGTAGTCTTGTTTTAATTGAACCTTGAAGGAACATCGTCCATGACCATATACGTCAATCAAAAACAAAATAGAAAACTAAAGAAATTATACAATATTTGTATCCCCAAAAACACGCAAAGCATGCATATAAGTGAAGACGAGATATTTGAGTGCCTCAAATGCATTCAGTGTTCATGCCTGAATGTTTGCATGGAGATATGTATTCACGTGTATGAGCGAGAGTATTTCTTAGAAAGTCAATCTGATGGTCGTCCCGATTGGCGCTTTACAGTATCGAAGTTGTTCTGCGGACAGAGATTGTAGAGTGAGTTAAAGAATACAAAAGGAGAAATGTCTGGGTCTGTTTTTTTTGCGAGTGTGCCTGAACAACTTCTATAGAATAAAGTGCCCACGTGCAAGTTGCTGTTTGTGGTTCAGGCGGTGTGTGTGTGTGTGAGCAGTGATTACACTAGATGCTACGTGCTTGTCCTCAGTGCACAGACGTAGTGCGATTCATCATCTCAGTCAGAGTCCACGTCCTCTTACAGCTCGCTATCCTTCACTGAATACAAACAGACAAGAGACACCAATGACAATGAAGAATTACAGTTTTTTTTTAGTTTGCTGCACAAAAATAATTATTGTAGTTCATATGACTTGTGTGCTATATTCCAAATCTTATGTGTGAGGAGGAACAGATTAAGATTTTAGCAGTGTTATTTTAGTATTATTTATGCTATTATAGTAGGCCTATGTATTTTGAATTTGCTTTTATTTTTATATTTCACGTTTTCATTTTAATTTTAGTTCTGTCATGACAACTCTCAGAGTGTTTGGCATGGCCATGGATATGACAATGTTTATATGTTTCTGTACAAAATAGCATACGTGAATCATCTGTAGCAGATCTATACAGGTGGAGCTGGGGAAGGTGGAGGGTTTCTGAAAGTGCGCTGCAACTACTACAGTAAATGCTGACCAAGTATCTGAAGGTTGATGAGTGAGCTCATTGGCTACTCATACAGCAGGAACCGATCAGCTGTGCCCTATAGAGCATGCCTTAAGTGTAGCAACATGTTGATTGACTGAAAACCAGAGAATGTTCCTTAGCAAGTTGACTTATGGGCTGTTCCAATGCAACAGTAGAAACTTGTCACTGCAACCATCTTGCTGACGGAACTGGCAGGTGATGTGGGCCAAGAAAACACAGCTCGGCATGATGGGACATGTTCAACACAGCCATGTGCAGCACACATTCTCTACTAATGCAAATGTCTTTTATGTATCCTAAAGCATAAAGTAGGTGCAAATGTATTGCAGATAAGTCAACTGTGGTTCAACTGCACTCACTCACCCTTCTTGGAAGGAATGTCATTGATGGAATCCACCACGTGGATGATGCCCACAGCCGAAGCTTCGCCCTTGATGTTGCTGGCGTGACACTCGTAGGAGCCCTCCTCATTCTTGGTAAGAGGAGATATCTGCAACAGATGGCCATCAGTCGTAGTTTTCACCCAATCTGTTCTGAATGTTTCGATAAGTGCAAAGAATTCCAAACAAATGTAACTTGAGATGAGCCTATGCTTTCGGAGCAGCGCTGCCAATAAATGCTGTAACGGTTTTGTGTTGCGCAAATAAACATCACTCGTAACTTGTAGCAGAAAGCTTGTAGTTATACGTGGAAAGATGAGCTTTTATATTTAGCTAAAAAACACACTTACTAGCACCCAGCCAGTAACCTCATGTTTTTCCGGGCCTCCACGGGTCTGGACGGCCAGGTTGTCTTTGTCTCCTGGGAGCGGCACATACTTGCCTTTGCTGTCAGATACCTATGAGAATCACAACAGCCATAAAGAGTTTTACTTCTACACTCTGACTGTGGGTTAATGCAGAACAAATTTCACCATATAAATCGCTAAGCACATGGTTTTGCAGCAAATTACAGCTTGTTCGTTCTGTGGTTATGCGTGATTAAGTTTCACCAGACTCTACAAGAAGAAATGTTTCATTTGTGCAGATAAGCAATGCTTTTTTTCACTAAACCATAACCACATGTGGAACCAGACACAATAAATCTTAAACTAGAGTATGTATTGCAGTTTTATATGCTGTCATGATAAACAACAGCCATGTGAAATCAGGATAGTTCACCCAAAAATGAAAATTCGGTCAATTTTGTCATTTGCTCACCCTCAAGTTGTTCCAAAGCTGTGTGAATTTCTTTCTTCTGCTGAACACAAAAGAAGATTTTTGTGTGTGTCATTTTTGGGTGAACTATCCCTTTAAACTCAGGGTCATTCTGAGATAAGGCTTACTTAAGTTAGGTCTAAAACACTGTAAACTGCTTCTATTTTGAATTTTTCGAATTAAACAAACATTTTTCATTGGACATTATATTATCTGCCTATCAATTTATGTGGAAAATGATCAATTCTTAATAATAATAATATTTTATATTAGTAGTAATATTAGTGTTGTTATTATTATTAATAATATATTGATAATTAATATTATCGTTGTTGTTGTATGTGATGACAATATTAAATAGAATAAAATAAACGAAAGAAATGCGAATGTATCTTATTTTTCAAAATCCTCTCACTCTTTCTCTTTTCTGTCCACCAGACTTAGTTTTTATCGCTTAAACTTTGTAATCTCCTTCCTTGATCTCAAGTTTTTGTGGGTCTCCAGTGCTTCATCACTGTAATTAAAATACCCCTGGGCCTCTCAGTCTGAGGCAAGGGTGAAATTCTTTAGCCAGGACATAATCTAGTTTCCACTTTTTATGAAGCATGACTAACCTGATCATCAGAAACCCCATAAGAAAATGCAGCCCACATTACTTCTTGTTGAAATAACTTTTTTTTTAAACTAATTTATGGATGGAAAATACGATAGAGTAAACAAATGTTTTTAAATACTAATATTTCCCAGGGTTTCAGGTTTCCTGTAGCAGCTGAGAGGGGTTAATTATGAGCTTTTTGCTTTTCCCTGGGAAATCACCTCGTTATTTTTTGCATCCGGTTATCCGCTGTGGCTTTTCATATTAGTGACTCTAGAGCCAGTACAAAGGAGAATCCAGTCCCATGGAATTCTTTGATTCTATCTTTAAGGAGAAATCGCATCTAGAATGGAAAAATGTGATGGCTGATGACATGCTTGATAAAGTGCTTCCTGTCCTGACCCCTCCCCTGTTTGTGGTGCTATTGTTTCTGTGCTGTGTTATTCATAGAGGTGGACATCCTTTGACATAGTACACACAAACACATCCTTCCTCTTTTCCATATGAGACTTGGGCCTGTGCTATAGGATCTGATACATGAAAAAAGAACAGCTCTCATACGTTACTTACAAAAGCAATATGGAAAGATTCACTGCCTTTTTTAAATTGATTCTCTACCTTTCTCCAGGTGAGCACAGGTGTTGGTATCCCAGTGGCTTCACAGCTTAGGAAGACCTGTGAACCGGTCACGTTCCAGACCTCGCCAGGAGCTGTCACTATAACCGGTCCTGCATTGGACATGAATGACACGAAATGATTTAGAAGTTGCATATTATATAATCATCATGCCACACTAAGGTTATCAGCATGTCTGGAAGAGTGAGGCATTCTGGGACAGAGTTTGCACAATACAGTGACGGAGAGATTGTAATGTAGACAATGACCTTGTTGGTCCTAAAGGAATAGTTCTCTCAAAAATGAAAAAAAATAGTGTCAAAATGACTTTTTCTTCCATTGAACACAACATTATGAATTTTGAATTCATTCCGATGTTGTTTCCATTAAAGCGGCATGAAGCGGAATTTGCGATTGTCTTTCCCCCCCTATTGTGACGTAGGCCTAGTGTCCAAAAGTGATGTCTGGAGGGAATATTTGTTTTTTATGGCCCTACAAGTTCGATTAAACAATAAAAATATAATATACATAAAGTCAGACATTGTGAGATAAAAAGTTGCAATAACTTTTTTTATTTTTTTTATTTCATATAGTGGAAACAAGCTTCCATTCCATCTACAGTAGTGTCTGATTCATATCAAAAACTTCAGATGACATTAGTGCTAAAATATAAAATTATAAAAATAATTTTAACTCCAATCAGTATTTCTTGTCCACAAGTTTATTTACGCTCTTATCACTTAATTTCTGAGTCATATACTATCAACACTAAAATATGCAAATGCCTCAAGTATGAAATAATGCAATATGTAGATTACTGTTAAGCCTGTAAGAACCCCACATGGACTGAGATTACTTTAGGTGAGATAATGTCTTGTGCCCACAGGATTAATTAAAACTTGTAAACTGGACAAACAAGTTATAAAGTAGGCTAGGCTATAAAAGTTAGACAAAGGTTCTCAATGTCATTCAACAAGCTTTATTATTACCTCACACGCTCTTTTAATTAATGATGGTTTGTTGAAAACAGATCTAACCTTACATTTCATATAATTGTACAGTAAAAAGCTTTTAAATATATTGTTTTTATAAGTAAAAAAAGAACAAATCATCTTATAATGTACAGTGACAAGTCGTAAACTAACATTCTCAGAATTCCATCCGACACTTGACATTTGATGGGTTTTCATTTGAAATTGAATAATTATATTTCTTCTTGGTTGTTTTTATCAGTTAGGCTATATGTACAGGGTTTTATGTTACACCTTATGTTGTTAAATGAATGATAATTACATTATTTTAGCCACAGCTAACAGCCGCCAGTTTTTCTTGGTTAAAAACGTCAGGATTTTTCTTACAGTGAAGTTAAAATGAATCACAGTGCACTGGTTGCACCCCTTCTTTTCTCCTGTTGAGTTCAACTTCTATCATATTGTCAACTTATGGGTCTATTAGTAGAAGCCTCAGAGAAAGCTCTGCTAGAGGAGCTTTTCCATATCATCTGGCTCTTAATCCCATGCCAGAATGCGGTTATAATGAATTATATGCAGGTTCACTGATTCAAGCGGTCTGACTTTGCTTTAAAGCAACAGTCTGCCTGTGTGTTTTGCTAAACGAGACATTGCTATTTGATCGGGGCTGATCTCCCTTTTCACTATTGAAAATCCACCCGAGAGGCTGGAATTTCAGACATGTCTGTTCAGGGATAGCAGAATGTTACCACCCTGTATGGAAACAATGGCCTCTGGCCTGTTCCGTTGTTGCCTTAATTCACACTGTCAATGTATATGTGATTATGTGTGTGTACAATTTATTTGTCTCGGGGAGAAAGTACAGGACATTAGTATTACAGGTCAGTGTATTAGTGATCCCGGGAGAAAAGAATCCTAAACACAAAGCACATGACAGCTGAATCATGTGAGCGAATGGATCATAGGGCATTAACAAGGCAAAAATTAATCTAAAGTAGCAAAGTTGTTGACGCAGCTGTGCAGAAAGGCCAGCATTTCATTTCTCTGCACATACAATCTGATCCTTGTATATCAGGCCTCGCGGTCAAATTCTACACTGGATTAAATGAAAAACTGAACTTTAAATGGCTGCGGGTCGTTACTTCAAAACACTAAATGTTCTTACATAAACAGTGAGCCATTATAATTTTCATTACCATAGGCACATGATGTTTTTTTTGCTTCTGTTTGGGGCCCAAGAGACATAATTAATCAATGAGTTGTCAAATAAAGATGAATTAACCAACATCACTGACTGTATACAAAATTTGTCAACAGTTTACAGTGGCCCCGAAACATTTTCGGACGCTTAAATCACACCCATGGAAATGTCTGAATTCCATTGCATTCACATAGATACATAATGCATTACATCCATTGCATGCACTTACTTTGTGTTATATGTAAAGACTCGTATCAAAAATGAGCAGAATCTGAAATTGGAACTGTGACTTTTGTCTTCCATTATCAGGGCGAGTTGTCACATGTGCTTGTAAATATTATAAATTACTTATACAGTTTATTAATTAAAAATGATAACATTTAAACATTTGCTGTTTCCGATTTGTTTCACTGTTGAGCTAAAAGCCTATAGGCTTCCAATTAACAGGCTCCACTGTGACAACTTACCCCGGGTTGACAGCCATTGCATGTTGTCACAAACACTATTATTTTTTCCCTTGGGAATATGAAAATATTCAAGGCTAATTTTGACTGTAGCTATATGTGACTAAATAGACATTTATATAGGCTAGGGTATAAATATTCACCGGAATCCCATATAGCTCATGATATAAATTATAACTTTCATGACATTTCTATCCACATCATGCACTTTTACTGATAAGCATTATTTAATGTAAACATTTTAATTATTAATTCAAGTTATTAAAGTGTTGACTGATAAATGGCTATTACATGCTATTATAATGTTAAAGAACCTCACCTTGAGCGCATTTGCCCTTGTTGTGAATCTTAATCTCGGGTTTGTTCTCCTTCACTGCTTTCACACTCGCTTCTTTGAGCTCACAGCCGCTGTTATAGTTGACGCCATCAGTGCCGCACACGGGATAGTTGCCCTTGCACACGCAGACCCCTGATTTAGTCTTCTTGTCTTTGTCGCTCTTGACGCACTCGAGTCCGGACGCGCAGCGCTTGGCCGAGGGTCCGCGTCCCCCGCACGGCTCTCCCGCTCCAGACGCGCAGAGCTCGCAGCAGCCGCACGCGTCCAACAGCGCCCCTGATGAGCAGCCCTCGGCCGGCAGCGGAGCGCACTGACTCGGGTCGCAGGTGCCGCAGCTGCGGGGCAGCCGGTCCGCTGAAGACACCGCGAACAGTGGTAATAGCAGAAAGCAGAGCATGGTGAGATGTGGAGGGTCTCAGGCTGGTTCAAAGTCTGCTGCTTCTCTCTACTTGGGATGGAGGTACTAAAACCCGCCCAGCAGGGACATGAACTTACAATAACACAAGTAAACATACCCTCCTTTTTTGGCAATGATTTTGGAAGCTCATTTTGCATATCGTGGTTCTATTGTTATTGGTATTATTTGTGATACATTGGAATGGATTGGGTTTTCTGATGGATTTAGGCTAGCTAGATGAAAAGTTTTTGGTGATTGCTAGGGTATTTTGGGTAGTTGCTAGGGTGTCAAAGGATCCCACTTTCAAGTATGTGACAGATATATTTTAATGAATAAATAAACATTTATATAATGTAAAAATAATACTAAGCATGATATTATAAAGATAACACTGAACAAAATTAACCAATTTACAACCAAAAAGTGATTCAAATTAGTTATATCAACATGAAGAGAAACGTTAAATTCAGATTTATTTATATAAATACAATTTTTTTTATTTGATACTTTTGTTCAGAAAGAAGTCATTCAATTGATTTTAAAATAGATTCAATTAGAACACAGTTAAAAATGTAACAATGTTATTTTGCTGTATTTTTCGGGCAGGCCTGTGCCTTGGTGAGCAGAAGATACTTTCAAAAATATTTTAAAAACTGTTACCGACCCCTAACTTTTGAATAGTGACACAAAAGATTAAAATAATGCATAATCTCATGATGATCAATCTTTAGAAATAAGCATGAAAGAGTAGTAATTTCTACCTTTTTTAAACACCTGTTACACTTTTTTCTTATTTCTGCTTTTTAATATTGTAGTTACAGTGTACGTGACTCATGTCACTTCTTCAATCAGTGATTTGTTTCTGCCAGGCCAGAATCATAACCCCAATTATGAGCAACAACACTAATAACAAAATGGAGGACTATTCCTTTTTTCACAAATAATTTTTATTTTTAACATCATCTTAAAATTGTTTTACTTATTGGAGTCTCTTTCCAAATGCATTTGTTCATAAACATGTCCTGACTTCATACTGAGATTCCTGGCTGATAGGCAGATTTTTTTGTTGTTGCCATATTCCTCTGGTTACAGTGTAGTGTTGGATGAATACCGGTTTGCACACATCCACATGTTTGGTTCCACATTTTCAGAAGCTGATGCACTAATAATCTGCAATGTCCAGGATCCATCTATTTGATGTATTTGGCTACAAAGGCAGCTGCAATGTCTTTGTATGGAGTTTCTGAGTCTGACCGTGTTGGAGGGATCCGACAGACGCCCCGGAAGCGAGGGGATCTCAGGAGCAGGTTATGTGCCAGTCCAACACAACTGGAGGCGAGCCAGTACAGAGACATGGACTATGAATCAGGAAAACAGAAAGAACAAAACAAATCATTAGGACCCCTTAAAGGGATAGTTCACAAAAATGAAAATTCTGTCATTAATTACTTACCCTCTTGTCGTTCCAAACCCGTAAGACTTTCGTTCATCTTTGGAATACAAATGAAGATCTTTTTGATTAAATCTGAGAGTTTTCTGTCCCTCCGTAGATCGCTACGCAACTGACACTTTGATGCTTCAAAAAGTTCATAAAGAGATCGTAAAACTAATCCATATGAATTGAGCGTTTAGTCCAAATTCTCTGAAGAGACTTGGTCGCTTTGTATGATGAACAAATTGAATTTAGGCTTTTATTCACATATAAATATTGATCAGCAAACATAAACATAAGCTCAACTGAACCTGCTTGATGCAAGAGAACAAACCTCATTGGTTCTTGCTGAAGCTCAAACGTGTTGCGTAATATGAGAATGAACCTCATTGGTTCTTGCTGAAGCTCAAATGCAGGGGCGGCGTTTGCGTATGGCAGAGTATGGCCGTTGCCATACCCTAGCAGTCAGAGTTCAGATAAAACATCAGCTAATGATAATGCTCGGTAAAGATTTTAGGAGGGCTTTAACCCCCTAAATTCCCACCCAGTCCCCCCAAAAATGTGCGTTTCATTAATCGGCTGTCACCTTTAAAAGTGTTTAGGCTACTCCTTCCAGTATTATCTCCGCAGCGTCAGCGTCAGAACAAAAGCAGATGACGACAACCAACGTGTGTGCATTTATTGATAGATCGTTGATATATATGCATCTGTGTAGTTGTTTGTCATAATAAATAAAGTTTACATAATGTGATGCTGGAGCAGCAAATCAACACGGATTTCCCACTGTAAAATCGGGCTTAATTTATTTATTAAGTTCCTTTCATCCAAACGGCATAAGACTTTGTAGCATTTCCTACTCTTGCTATAGCCTACTTCATACTTCCGTGCAATAAAATTGCTAAAAAAAATTATAATATTAATTTGATAATAAATCCGAAGGCAAAACACGCGTTAGGTCTATAAGTGACGTTCAAGATGAGCGCTGCTCTTATGATTGGTTGCAATGCTGTTCGTTCACTGTGAGTTTTAATTAATAGTGTAATAGAGTTATATAGTATAGTACATTGTGTTTAATTTGTCGTTTAACAAATACATTAGGGGGATCTAATGTATGTTGTTAGTGGCGAAAATATTCACGTTAATACATACATAGATCCAACTATTATCTCCATATACTTAAATGGTCCAGTGGCAAAACTTTCGCCAAGGGTGTCAGAGGTTCTGGGTTCTAATCCGCACTACGCAGTATAGTTTTTTTTCCCCTCATCAAAACCGATTGTTTATTAGTAGTTGTAGGCATGCAGGGACACGTTTTTTTTTGTGTGCATTATGTTTTGTGATTTCACCATAACGAATGGAGTCTCCACAACAGATTGAAGCGCGTCCGTGTGAAGACTGTGCGCGAGTCACAACAGAACACTATATCCGCGCCACTGATGATAGCAGCAGCGGCAACGAGCACTTTGGTGACTTAATTTAAAAAACAACACATTTCAGCACTAGATTGCCTCTTATTTAACAAACGAACAAAATGAATGCTCTATTAGAGTTAACTGGAGATGTTTTATTTATTTGTATTGGTACATGATCCGTGCCGTGAGATGTTTCAAAAGTGGTGGGGACACAATCGACCCTGGCAAAAAGTGATGGGGACATGTCCCACCCGCAAATTACTCCTATCTATGTATGCCCAGAGGGAATGCCATACTCTAGGTTTTTGTGAAATGCCACCACTGCTCAAATGTACTGCGTAACATAAGAATGAACCTCATTGGTTCTTGCTGAAGCTCAAATGTACTGCGTAACATAAGAATGAACCTCATTGGTTCTTGCTGAAGCTCAAACGTGTTGCGTAACACGAGAATGAACCTCATTGGTTCTTGCTGAAGCTCAAACGTGTTGCGTAACACGAGAATGAACCTCATTGGTTCTTGCTGAAGCTTAAATGTACTGCGTAACACGAGAATAAACCTCATTGGTTCTTGCTGAAGCTCAAACGTGTTGCGTAACACGAGAATGAACCTCATTGGTTCTTGCTGAAGCTCAAACGTGCTGCGTAACACGAGAATGAACCTTATTGGTTCTTGCTGAAGCTCAAACGTGCTGCGTAATACGAGAATGAACCTCATTGGTTCTTGCTGAAGCTCAAACGTGTTGCGTAACACGAGAATGAACCTCATTGGTTCTTGCTGAAGCTCAAACGTGCTGCGTAACACGAGAATGAACCTCATTGGTTCTTGCTGAAGCTCAAACGTGCTGCGTAACATGAGAATGAACCTCATTGGTTCTTGCTGAAGCTCAAATGTACTGCGTAACATGAGAATGAACCTCATTGGTTCTTGCTAAAGCTCAAATGTACTGCGTAACACGAGAATGAACCTCATTGGTTCTTGCTGAAGCTAAAACGTGTTGCGTAACATGAGAATGAACCTCATTGGTTCTTGCTGAAGCTCAAATGTACTGCGTAACACGAGAATGAACCTCATTGGTTCTTGCTAAAGCTCAAACGTGTTGCGTAACACGAGAATGAACCTCATTGGTTCTTGCTGAAGCTCAAACGTGCTGCGTAACACGAGAATGAACCTCATTGGTTCTTGCTGAAGCTCAAACGTGCTGCGTAACACGAGAATGAACCTCATTGGTTCTTGCTGAAGCTCAAATGTACTGCGTAACACGAGAATGAACCTCATTGGTTCTTGCTGAAGCTCAAACGTGCTGCGTAACACGAGAATGAACCTCATTGGTTCTTGCTGAAGCTCAAACGTGTTGCGTAACACGAGAATGAACCTCATTGGTTCTTGCTGAAGCTCAAATGTGTTGCGTAACACGAGAATGAACCTCATTGGTTCTTGCTGAAGCTCAAACGTGTTGCGTAACACGAGAATGAACCTCATTGGTTCTTGCTGAAGCTCAAACGTGTTGCGTAATACGAGAATGAACCTCATTGGTTCTTGCTGAAGCTCAAACGTGCTGCGTAATACGAGAATGAACCTCATTGGTTCTTGCTGAAGCTCAAACGTGCTGCGTAATATGAGAATGAACCTCATTGGTTCTTGCTGAAGCTCAAACGTGCTGCGTAATAGGAGAATGAACCTCATTGGTTCTTGCTGAAGCTCAAACGTGCTGCGTAACACGAGAATGAACCTCATTGGTTCTTGCTGAAGCTCAAACGTGCTGCGTAACATGAGAATGAACCTCATTGGTTCTTGCTGAAGCTCAAACGTGCTGCGTAACACGAGAATGAACCTCATTGGTTCTTGCTGAAGCTCAAACGTGCTGCGTAACACGAGAATGAACCTCATTGGTTCTTGCTGAAGCTCAAACGTGTTGCGTAACACGAGAATGAACCTCATTGGTTCTTGCTGAAGCTCAAACGTGTTGCGTAACACGAGAATGAACCTCATTGGTTCTTGCTGAAGCTCAAACGTGTTGCGTAATACGAGAATGAACCTCATTGGTTCTTGCTGAAGCTCAAACGTGCTGCGTAACATGAGAATGAACCTCATTGGTTCTTGCTGAAGCTCAAACGTGCTGCGTAATACGAGAATGAACCTCATTGGTTCTTGCTGAAGCTCAAACGTGCTGCGTAATACGAGAATGAACCTCATTGGTTCTTGCTGAAGCTCAAACGTGCT